GGTGACGTCGGATCCAATTTTTTTTGGTGTTAGATGCAAAGAAACGTTTCTCTCGCTCTATCTTTCGCTCTTTCTCGGCATCTCTCGCTCGCTCTCTCTCTGTCTCTCTTTATCTCTGTCTTTCTCTCTTTCCCTATCTCGCGCTCTATCTCTCTCTGTCTCTCGCTCTAACTTCCATTCTCACTCTCGGCATCTCTCGCTCTTTCTTCTCTCTCTCTCTCTCTCTCTCTCTCTCTCTCTCTCTCTCTCTCTCTCTCTCTCTCTCTCTCTCTCTCTCTCTCTCTCTCTCTCTCTCTCTCTCTCTCTCTCTCGCTCTCGCTCTCTCTCTCTTCGTCAAAACATCCAAAAAATATTTATCATTCGACAGGCCACCAGCAGCGATAAATGACAGTCCAAAAATTTTTAACACGCAATCAGCAGATCGTACGGAACTTTTTTAATGCACAGTTTCGGAGTAAAAATACAGCAAATTGCTTAATTGACATGGTGGGGGAAGGGGGCGTTGTGGCTCATCAACGCTCCTCTGTCTTCTCCTTTTTGTCGGCGGGCGGCAGCTTGCTCCGGTATTCGTCGTATTCGTGTATGAAAGCGCCAACTCTCAGGTTGGACGCCTGAAACAAGAATTTTTATTTTTTTTTGGTTCTTTTGCATTATCGGGGGGACCGAACTATTTGTAGAAATCTAGAAATGTCTAGTAACTAACAAGCGTTCTAATAGTTTTTAGTATATATCAAACCAGAAAAACTATCTAAAACGTTGAAAAAGTCGAAATTTTGGTCAATTTTTTTTGATAAAAATTTGTAAAGTTTTTCGGAAAAATAGAAACAATTTTTACGAGATCGATTAGAACACAGGTCTTAGATATGAAAAGCTCATAAACTAACAAAAAAACGGAACTTTCTGATTTTTCGTCAAAAATGTAGGAAATACTGGCCAAAAAAAAACAAAATTTTCAAATTACGTAATTTTTTTTTGAACATTTTGTATAACATTCCAGCAATTTAAACCTGGTCTATATCTATCAGCTTTAAAAATCTATCAGAATTTTCGAAAAACAATAAAAAGGCACTATTCCTTGCGTACGTACGGTATAAATGGAAAAATAAAAATAGCCCCCCACCGCTAAGGGTCTAGCACCTTTATTTTGGCACCAATTATACAATATAGAGCGTTTTAGGTGACTTTTAATCGCTTAGCGATAAATATAGCTACAAAACGTTCAAAAAAACTGGAAAAAAAACTGGAAAATCCATTTTCGACTTCAAAGTCAGTTTTTTGATAAACGCCGCCCACATCCTGCAGATAGTCGACGAACATCACGTGCAAGTAGAGGTATTGGGCCTCCGTCTCGACGGCCTTGAAGCGCTGCGCGCGGAGCGCGGAGAGGTGCTCGTCGAAAGACGTGAACTCTTTCCGGGCGGCCATCACCTCGAGAAAGACCTGGGTGAGCACGAAGAAGCCCGTCCAGCCGATGCCCGCCGAGTCGTGGATCACCATCGGTTTCCTGGAAGCGGGGGCGCTGGACTGTTAGCGGGGGGTTGGGTGGGATTAGACGAAATATAACTTATTTTTACACCATTTTACATGGTTTCGCTAGTCTAGGGAGCCGCCAGCCGTAACTTTTCAGCCATACACGTCCTATTAATGCGTGGAATCATTCCAAAAGATTTGCTGTAGTCGAATTACTATAAAAAAGTTGTTTTCTTACGTTCAAAATTGTTGGAAAATTTTTTTAAACAATTTTAAGCCTGGGTTTTCTTTAGTTAATTTTTGCAGGTCCAAAGTGAGTTTCGTAACTCGGCTATTTTTAGCCCTACAGAGCTGTCAATAGTACCAAAATGTAGCCCTTGCTCCGGAGAATAAGCCTACAGTGCGTTTGAGTCGAAAAAAATAGCGAAAAAAGAAAAAACCTGTGTGAGAAACGCAGGGTACACGGTACTTTGGCGACTGGCTCTTTTCAACTTTCAAATTCTTGTAAAAAATTTCTAACAATTTTTGGCCCAAGTAAACAACATTTTTTAAGGGTTTAGACCACGGGAAACATTTTTGAGATACCTGGCGCATTCATAGGACTTGTGGCTGAGGAGCTGGGCTGAGGGAAGGGGGGTGGTAAACTGAACCGTAGCCCTAACAAAAATAGTTCTTTTTAGCCAAATTAACTATATTTTAAGCCGAAAACTATCCAAGAAACTTTCAAAAAATTTTAAAACTTTCAATTTTTTGTTCAAAAACGGCCATTTTCATCGAAAAATAAATCACTATTTTTGTACTTTTGAGACGAAAATTTGCAAGTTTTTACGACACGCACTTGGTGTCCCTTGTAACGAGGCGCTTCATCAGCTCGATCGGCCTGGTGTTGATGATGGGCGGCTGGCGCGGTTTATCTTTATATTGGCGTGGATCGGGGAAGTAGTCGATGGCGGGCGGCGGCTGACGTTCGGGCATGGCGATCCAGTGGTAGTGGTTGACGGTGAGCATCACCTTCCCATCCTGCTGCACCTCCAGCGACGAGATGTTGACGGTCGCGTCGCAGTATATGCGCTTCTGCCATTCCACCTAACGACGCGAGGTTTTTTGGTACTATGCTGTTAGCGGGGGGGGAGGAGGTTAGTAGAGGGGGATACTGATTTTTTCCACCAATCAAAGATTTTTCGAGCATTGTATTGCTTTTTTTTGGATTTTTATATCTAAAAACTGCATAAAATGCTATAAAAATGGTCTGTATTTCGTATTGGGCCTCTACGGGATTACTGCGGAGACACCCCCCCCCCCCGTTAACGGAGTAGAACCGAAAATAATTTTTCGCGCACCTTTCTCGTGCCAAGCAGCTTGATGGTAAAGGGCCCAAAGGTCAACTGCGGCTTCGCGGTGGTCGGAACGTATTCGGCACACTTTTCCTTGCCGTCCACCTTGTAGTCGCACAGCATCAGGATCACTTCCACTTCTTCTTGCACGATCATTCTAGACGCAAAATATTGGGCTAAATCGGTCCAATTCCTCAAAGAATCTCTGCTAGCCTGCCCCACTCCATCCCCTCCAATTCCTCAAAGAATCTCTGCTAGCCTGCCCCCCTCCATCCCCTCCAATTCCGCAAAGAATCTCTGCTAGCCTGCCCCATCCATCCCCTCCAATTCCTCAAAGAATCTCTGCTAGCCTGCCCCCGTCCATCCCCTCCAATTCCGCAAAGAATCTCTGCTAGCCTGCCCCATCCATCCCCTCCAATTCCTCAAAGAATCTCTGCTAGCCTGTCCCCGTCCATCCCCTCCAATTCCGCAAAGAATCTCTGCTAGCCTGCCCCCTCCATGCCCTCCAATTCCTCAAAGAATCTCTGCTCCACCTCCAATGATCAATGATCGTTTCCTTGATGGGTGCTTGACAGCAAATAAATCGTTTCGGGTCTTTGGGTGTGGATACGTAGTTGGCATGTATATAGTCGTTGTCCGTCCCCTTCAAAATGACCCTGGTCGCGTCGATGCATGGCACATCTTTGTATCGGTTCTTCGCCTGATTCTGCAGCGACACGGCCACCTCTTCCTTGTCGATCACGCTAAACGGGTGCCGATTCTTGGACGACAGGGCTATAATAACTTTTTCGGTGCTTTCCCGTTATCGGGGGGGGGGGGGACGATTTTTTCCTACAATTCAGAAATGCCTCTGACAAGTTAGTAATCGAAAATGTATAGAATTTTTGTAGCATTCTATAATTTTTTCAAATAGAAGAAAATTTACCCCCCCCACCCCCAGCTGACCCCCACCTACTGTATCTCGGCTCCCTGTTCATCTACAGGTGTGTAAAGTATAGCAAAATACTCGCAAGACCAAGGCGAACATTTTGAAATACTTTACACACCTGTAGATGAACATGGAGCCCAGATATCGTAGGTGAGGTCGACCGGGGAAGGGGGGGGGGGGAAACTGCCTTGTAACCCCACTCTTACTTCCTTTGCAGCCTGTAGTCTTCCTGCACCTTGCTGAACTTGTGCCACGTCAGAGAGAGAAGGTAGCCGCACGCGAGGGTTTGTTGCTGTGGTGGTGGGGAGCCGCCGCGATAGCTAGTTGCAATCCTCGTCCTCTCCTCCCGGCTCTCCCTGCTCACCTTTTTTCTTTGTCTCGCGCGACCTCCGGTCTAAATTACGTATTACGGCAGTGCTAACCAAGTTCTAACCCTAAGCCCGCGTTTTGGCTCTGGAATTAGCTTGAATTTACATTTTTTGTATAGTTAAAATACCATGAAAATACCTTTCTTGTTGCGAGATTTCTTCATCACCCGGTGGCGGGGGCCTACATGAATCAATGAAGCTGCGTTTCTCAATTTTTTTTGCTTTGGAAGTGTACGCTAATTTACGCAGTTTTAGTAATCTTATGCAAATCTGTCCTCTCTCACTCTTTTTTCCTTTTTGTTTTGAGCTTGCTTTGCAATAAATCTTTATTTCAAAAATCGTAACCAATTTCAAAGCGCATAAAACAGCAAATAAAGTTAGCGAAAAAATAAGGCACCAATTATCCAAAAAATCACAATTTTTCGACGACTACAGTATGCTGAAAATAGCAGAACAATAGGAACATGTATTTTTCTACTTTTCATTCATATTATTGTTCGAAATCGCATCAGATAAAGCTCTAAATCCAAGGGGGCGGGGTTTTAAAAGTTTGAAGGGAACAGCAAGGCAAAAATACACCCAAAAATTCCTCAAAAATCTCTGCTAGATTGCCTTGCTGGTCCTTGGAAAACTAAATTCTAGGCATAAAAATTGGTTTTTGAGCAAACTCTACTCAAATTTTAGACCACACCACAGAGCTACCGTATGCCGCGCACAAAAATTAGAATTTTCGAGTCCACAAAATAAAAGTAGAGTAGTTAGTAAAGTACAAAAAACCATTAAGTAGTCGATAGTCATGGCCAGGAAGCAAAAAGCAAAAGATTTGCAGCGGCGGGGGTCGAACCCGGGCCTTTACGGTGGGCGGCCACTCGCTAACCGGCTGCGCCACGGCCCCGATTAGCGCCTGGAGATGGTGATCGGGGTGCCGTCGTTGGAGAGGTCGATGTTGAACCGGAACTGCTCGCGCATCGCCCCGGGGCTCATGTGGCACAGGTCCTGAAAATAAAAGTAAATAAAAAGAGAGTGAAAAATCCCAAAGCCGAGTCCCAAAGTCCCAAAGGATCCCTGCAAGCTTGCCCAGGTAAAAATGGCCAGGCTAACTTGTTGTTGCGTTTAAAACTCCAAAAAAAAATTTTGAAAATCCTAAAAATCCTAAAAAATTTCTCAAGAATTCCTGCTAGCCTGCCCCCGGCAAAACTTATTTTTTTACTTTACTTTCCGATTACCCAATACATATAAAAACCCAAAGATGCGCATTTTTTTGGTATTCGTCGAGAGAATCGAGATTCCTTAAAGATTCCTGCTAGCTTGCCCTGCAAAAACCCGAATTTTTCGCTTTCTAGTGCCTTTAAAACGAACATAAAATCCCAATAAAATCGATATTTCTCCAGTGCCCATAGCCGAAATCGAGCTTCCACAAGAATCTCTGCTAGTGATCCCTCCTAAAAATGTCCTGGCTGACTTGCTGGTGCCTTAAAATCCCAGAAAAAGTCGTCTCCGTGCTTTATGCCCTCAAATTCCGAGAAAAAAATAAAATCCCCAAAAAAGTGTTGTGAAGCTGCCGAACTTACGAAAATCAAAAAGCTCAATTGGAAAAATCGGGTTTAACTCAAATCCTCGCTGAGCCATTTCCATTGCTAAACGAGCGAGGAGTTAGAGAGAGAGAGAGAGAGAGAGAGAGAGAGAGAGAGAGAGAGAGAGATGCATACCTGCGGCGAAATGACGCGATGATGAGCATTTCCATTCTGCCATGAAGCCGAAATCGGGACGGCAATCATCCGCTGTGGGGTATTCTGAAACATAATTTTTTATATTAGTTTTTGTAAGTTTTTGTACTATGAAACGGCCTAGAAAAACACGCAAATCGACTCTGCCATCGACTGGGTCTTCCAGCTACGCGGCGCTCCAAATAACACGCTCAATAGCGTTTACCGGCGTCATTTGGAGCGTCATGTAGCTGTTACCTAGGCGATGGCAGTGGTTGATTTTTTGGGCTTTCTGGTCGCTTTTAAAAGGTTTTTTCGCCCTTTCCTCGCCCTGGAATTCAAAGATTAACCAGTGGTCTATTTTGAGAAAACCAATTAAAGTCCAAATTTTCTTTGACCTTTTTAAGGCTTTTTAGTCTGGCTAAAAAGGTGAAAGCGGGGAACGGAATGGCAATTAAGGGGGGGCCATTTGATGACGGGAGGCTTTGAACCGAGGGGTTGAATGGAATTTTTTGGAGAATATTTCTCTCTCTCTCTCTCTCTCTCTCTCTCTTTGTCTCTCTCTCTCCCGCCCCCTCAATATGATATTCTCACATCCCTGACGAGCCCAATTTGCATATTAGAGCAGCCGGCGTATCGTGGCAAGCGGTCAAAACACGCGGCTCGCAATTTTGAAGGCCATATTGGTACGAGGGACCCAAGAAAATTTGAAAATTTCAGTCTCAAATAGTCTCTGCTAGCCTGCCCAGGAAAATAGACGTATTTTATTGAAAAACAATGGTTTTCAAAGCAAGCAGCGTTTCCTAAATGGTCTCTGCTATCCTGGCTGCGCTGAAGTTTCCTCAAAATTTTGCTAGTCTGCGTCTCTGCGAGACCCTAAGACAGTCTAATCCCAAATGATCTCGGCTAGATTGCCATCCCTGAAAATCGATTTCCCAAAGGTTTCCGCTAGCTTACGAGCCCAAAACATTTTCCAAAATAACCTCTGCGCCAAGGCAAAGATCTTTGCTAGCTTGTCATGCTTTACCTCAAAGAATCTCTGCTAGCCTGCCCCCATCCATCCCCTCCAATTCCTCAAAGAGTCATTGCTAGTTTGCCCCCGTCCATCCCCTCCAATTCCTCAAAGAGTCATTGCTAGCTTGCCAAAGCACAGAGAAAAACATGGACAATACACTACACAACGCTCCAGATTACGATACCGATTTTGAGCGCGCGGCATCAAGGACCGCGGCACGCAACGCGTCGGCTTGACGCGACGTGGGCGTGGCTGGGGGTGTGGATAGGTGTGGAGAGTAGTTGCCGAAGAATGGGCGTGGCATCTCGGGCTGTTGTTGATGATGATGATGTTGGTATTGTTGGGATTGTAGATGAAGCGGAGGCGGAAGCTGCTGGAAGCGGATAAAAGGGGGAAAGAAGCTGTTGTATGGACGCATTAATGACACTGCCACCAGGAAGCACCAAAGCTGGCTTTTTAAGGGGGCCGAGCAGCCGAAAAATTGCGTTTTTTGCCAAAAATTCTTGAAGAATCGCCGCTAGCGTGCCCCGACGTTTTAAAGGGCCATGGCAATAACAATAAATTTTTTGGCTAAAATTCCTCAAAAATCCGTGCTAGCCTGCCCTCTCTGAGAAATGCGGTGGGGCCTAATAAACCCTAAACTTCCTCAATAAACTCTGCTAGCTTTCCTGACCCAATTAAAGGGCCCATAAACTAAAATCACAAAAATCCTAAAATTCCTGATCAATCACTGCTAGCCTGCCTTTTAAAGGGATTGCTAAGTCGACAAATCCGCAAAATTTCCTCAAGTAACTCCGTTAACCTTGCCCTCCCTAATGCTCTCTGCTCGTTCGCAGCCATTTCCACAAAGAATCCCCGCTAGCTACCTGTGCCCTCTTCTGATGCTGTCCATCGTCATGATGCTGTACATGATGGTGTTGATGGCGGAGTGGGGGTGGAGATGTGCTGCCTGGACTCAACGAGGATGGCGATTGTTGGGAGGAGGACATCGAGGACTCGGGAGATGAGGCTCGAGCTCCTAAAGGGTTGTGAAGACAGGAAATTTCTCGCTCTCTCACCATCTCTTTCTTTCTCTCTCTCTCTCTCTCTCTCTCTCTCACCTTATTTCTATATCTCTCTCCATATCTCCAGCTATCGTTTAGCAATGGAAATGGCTCAGCGAGGATTTGAATTAAACCAGTAACCACCAATTAAACCTCTCTCCCACTCTCTCTCTCTCTCTGGCTCTCTCTCTCTGACTGTCTCTCGCTGTCACTCGCTCTCTCACGCTCCCTCTCTCGCTCCCTCTCTCTCACTCTCTCTCATTCTCTCTCTTGCTGTCTCTCCAGCTTACCATTCGGTGCTCTCATATTAATCGTTCCCGTGGTAGTGGTCGATGGCCTCCGATCCGTTTGTCTATTACTGTGCCCATGCTGGTGGCTGCCATTTTGGGCCAACGGATTCCTGGCCACGTTTTGACCGCTCATCGGGCTCGTATGTGCGTCGCGGACCTCGAGCGGGCGGAGCTAGATAGAAAATTAGGGTTCTTTCGCATTATCGGGGGGGGGAGAGATTTGTCTCTCAGGAACCAATTTTTTCAAATATAAATAGCAAGAGTGTTTCTGAACAGTTTGGCTATTCCTAAGCTTCACAAATATATTTTTTTTAATACGAAAATCACGATTTTTCGACCAAAATGACCGTTTTCGAGCAAAATGTCGACTTTTTGACAAATCGTTCAAAGTTTTAGATAGTGTTTCTAGCTAAAATAATGATTTTAGTTACTAAAAACATTATTAAAATACTTCCCATCAGTTACTAGGCATTTGTACATCATCACAAAAAAATTGTACCCCCCGATAATGCGATAGAGCCTGTGTTGTAGTCAGATTAGCCCGGATTCCTGAAAAATCTCTGCTAGCCTGCCCTCCATCCCCTCCAATTCCTCAAAGAATCTCTGATAGCCACCTACCGGAGAGACTGGTGAAGGTTCAACCGAATGAAGCGGTGAGCTCGGGATCAAATCCGTGCGAACGATCATCGGGCGTGACATCTGAATGGAAATTTTTTAATCGATCCATTTGCGACACTAAATTCTAAATTAGTCCGCAAAAACCCACCTCACTATTGCTCCTGACATTCGAAATTCGCGGCTGACGGACGGTGTTTTGGAAGTTGAATGGGGTGTAATTAGATGCCTGAAAAATAACTGAGAAATAGCGTTTCAAAGGCGCTGGGAGCGTATTGTGTTGGCTGCCGGTTCGTGCGTCAACTTCCATCACACCTGGTTTGTTTTTTTTTTAATTTCCGAATGGCTCGCAAGCGGCGTTTGGCCCTTTTTACACTTTATGTGCTGAACAACTTACCGTAACACCCGTGGCGACCGGCTGAGGCGGTTGATTGTAGGTATAGGAAGAGGATGGAGCCGGAGAGTAGGTATAGCTTGCCGGGATACTGTAATATGGATGTATATTCTCGCTCTTCACTATCTTTCTCGGTCTCTCTGTGTCTCTCTCTATCTCTCTCGCTCGCTCTCTCTCTCTGTGTCTCTGTGTCTCTCGGTCACTCTCTATCTCGGTCTCTCTCTCTCTCTCTCTCTCGCTTTCTGACCCGAAAATGAAGGCACATACCTCTGCTGATCTCTCCACGATGGACGACTGGTGGATCGAGATCGCGGTGATGTTTGGCTGACTAAAAACACTGGTTCTAAAGGGACGGTGAAGCGCGCGAATCGCCTTTTTCGAAAGACTAGGTCTCGACAACTACTCAAGACGCCAAACGACGGGCGCATCGGAATTTTTCTGACACCGTTGCGCGTAATTTCTACTCGGAATTCTCGAATTTTCGAGACTCCGATGATGTAAGCGTTCGTTTTTGCGTTTTCCAAGGCCTTTAAAGGGACTGGCAAGGCTATGGTTTCTTGGGACTTTGCCGCGACGCGATACGCATCGCGCAATCGCCGCACGCTGCCTTGCTCAGTGATTCGTAATCGATTACGCGATAAAAAAGAGAACGGGCGTTACGGTGTGTTACCGTCAAATTTACCGGGGAATCTACGGTCAGAAAATTTTCCATCCATTTAAAGTTTCCATCGAGTCGAGACCTAGTCGATGAAGGGGTTGAATCCCTGGCTTCGTTTCCCCTTTAAAATGGTCCAAAAACCCACCTTGAGCCGGCCTAGCGAGCCTTGGCTGCCCATTCTGAACGGTGTAGACGAGGGGCGAGGCGGTGGTGGTTGGTGTGGTGGCCGAGGGGACGGCCACCCATTCTGCCGCCCGAATATTCGGCCCCGGGACTACGGTAGCCACCGGGGTTCGTGCCGGGACCTGAGAGGAGGCAGCTGGGGAGACTGGGCAGGCAGGGCTGGCCGTGTACTGTAAATAGGTGTATTTCGTAGGGGGATGAATGTCAATAAATCTTTGGGCTATTTGTTAGTTTGCCCTTCATTCCCAAAGATTCTTTGCTAGCATTCCATCCCCCGATATCTTACGATTTTCCTAAATCCCGTACGACCTACCGTATGCTGCTGCTGCTGCTGTACTTGTTGCTGATGTTGTGGCGGCTGTTGTCTTGGGGCGGAGCGCTGCGTAGTCGTTCCCAAAGCCATTTGTGGGGTCACCAGGGCGGCCCTTGTCGGCGCCTTCCACGGGGCGGCCGCCCGGTCGTACGCATCCGCGTACACCGGCTCATACGGTTTCCGGGATGGACCGGAAGAGGTAGGGACAGGGGTCCGGATTTCGACACTAGAAAATAGAGATTTCCGGCAAAAGAGCCGCCATTTACGTTTGCTTGGTCGGGTCCTCCCTGGAAAATTGGAACTGGGCCACCGAGGCGCTCCTCTGCGGTGGTGGGGGGCGAACGTCGGCGCGTTGCGGTTCCGCAGCGGTTTCTGAAATTGTAGATTTCCTCAAAGAATCTTTGCTAGCCTGCCCCCTCCATCCCCTCCAATTCCTCAAAGAATCTCTGCTAGCCTGCCCCCTCCATCCCCTCCAATTCCTCAAAGAATCTCTGCTAGCCTGCCCCCTCCATCCCCTCCAATTCCTCAAAGAATCTCTGCTAGCCTGCCCCCTTCATCCCTCCAATTCCTCAAAGAATCTCTGCTAGCCTGCCCCCTCCATCCCCTCCAATTCCTCAAAGAATCTCTGCTAGCCTGCCCCCTCCATCCCCTCCAATTCCTCAAAGAATCTCTGCTAGCCTGCCCCTCCATCCCCTCCAATTCCTCAAAGAATCTCTGCTAGCCTGCCCCCTCCATCCCCTCCAATTCCTCAAAGAATCTCTGCTAGCCTGCCCCTCCAATTCCTCAAAGAATCTCTGCTAGCCTGCCCCTCCAATTCCTCAAAGAATCTCTGCTAGCCTGTCCCTCCAATTCCTCAAAGAATCTCTGCTAGCCTGCCCCCCTCCATCCCCTCCAATTCCTCAAAGAATCTCTGCTAGCCTGCCCCCCTCCATCCCCTCCAATTCCTCAAAGAATCTCTGCTAGCCTACCCCTCCAATTCCTCAAAGAATCTCTGCTAGCCTGCCCCTCCAATTCCTCAAAGAATCTCTGCTAGCCTGCCCCTCCAATTCCTCAAAGAATCTCTGCTAGCCTGCCCCCTCCATCCCCTCCAATTCCTCAAAGAATCTCTGCTAGCCTGCCCCTTCCATCCCCTCCAATTCCTCAAAGAATCTCTGCTAGCCTGCCCCTTCCATCCCCTCCAATTCCTCAAAGAATCTCTGCTAGCCTGCCCCTTCCATCCCCTCCAATTCCTCAAAGAATCTCTGCTAGCCTGCCCCTCCAATTCCTCAAAGAATCTCTGCTAGCCTGCCCCCTCCATCCCCTCCAATTCCTCAAAGAATCTCTGCTAGCCTGCCCTTCCATCCCCTCCAATTCCTCAAAGAATCTCTGCTAGCCTGCCCCTCCATCCCTTCCAATTCCTCAAAGTATCTCTGCTAGCCTGCCCCTCTATTTCTTCCAATTCCTCAAAGCATCTCTGCTAGCCTGCCAGTGGTTAGGCCAATTCTAAGTAAATTAACATACGTTTCTGATGCATAGGACTGTCGAGTAGTCGTCGTGGCGGCGCTTGATACTGGCTAGGTGGCGGTGGAGATGGTGATGGACGACTGTCGAAGAGATTTCTCGCAAATTGCGGTGTCGACTGTTGGCTGGCGGAACGGGCGGGGGGAGGGCTGAAAAAAAGGAGTGGTTTTTAGCTTTAAAGAGATAAGAAAGGCTAGCAGAAATTCTTTAGGAAAACCTCATAACAACAGGGCGTTATGCCAGTGGAATTTCGCCTTCAATGGCCCTTTAAAATCCCTTTTTTTCGATTTTCAACGGCCAAATTCGAAGTGGCAAAATACGAGCTACAACATACACACCGTGATCTCTCTTCCTCCATCGTTGGCGCGCGGGCGGCGCGCTGTTGTTGGGCCAGAAATTGGGCTGATGGACTCTAAAAGTATATAATGACTGCTAATAATGCAATATTAATGAGATATTAAGGTAATTCCTCTAGGTTTTGGATCTTAAAGGGTCGGGAAGCGGGCCAATCAACCCCCTCCTGCCGACTAGGTCTTGACAGCTACGCGACACTCCAATCGACGCAGGGGATGGGCGTTGAGATTTTGCCAAAACGGCGGTGAAATCGATTAAATTACAAGTGGGTGGTGCCCGTTGGAGCGTCGCGTAGTTATCAAGGTACGGTCCCGGTGAAAAGTCGATTCTAGCGCGTCCTGGTCTCTTTAGGGCATGTAAAATTCCGTTTTTAGCTTATGAGTACAACGCACTGTGAAAATTGGCGTTTTTCACGTTCCAGGTCATTTAAAAGCAAAAATTCCACCGTACCTTGGTCCTGGGCAAAGTACCGTATCCCGAGCTCGGTTCCTCCTTTGCCAGATTCGTGTCGCTCTCATGGAACGGAGTACGAAGTTGACCAGGTTTGAAGCTAAAAACGTCAAAATTCATTTTTAAAACCAGTGTTCCCATTAAAAAAAATGAGAATCCAAATTTAACCTACCGTATCCTCGGCAAACTGTTCGTCTGCCCGATTTCTCCATTGGCAAATCGCGAAATTTTACTCGCCGCTGTCCCGGCCGGGATTTCACGTTTCAGCGTGTCGGAGGTTACCTAAAAAGTCGGGAATTTGGGCAGGCTAGCAGAGATTCTTTGAGAATAATAGCCTAGCGGGGATCCTTTAAGAAAGTTTCAAAACGCAGTGGACAACCTGTCACCATTATGCCTAACCTAAGCCTAAGCATATGCCTATGCCTATGCCTAAGCTTATTCCTAACCTACGCCTAAGCCTACGCGTAAAATAAGCCCCGAACTAAGCCTAAGCCTAAGCTAATCCGAAGCTAGCCGTAGCTTAACCTAAGCCTAAGCCTAGCCTAAGATTGCGCTAGAAAATTCTCGTGGAAATAATATGCTTTCTAAGCAAGGGCAGACAGGCTAGCAAAGCTTTTTGGGGAATTCTCAAAATCTGACTCCTTACCTTCAGCGCCGCCTCATCAAAGCTGGCATCCGGTGGCGCGCCAGCGGGTCTTGTATCCTAAAAAGTGCCCCGATTACCGCATGCCAAAATCGACGTACAGGTCTGAGGTAGCTGTTCAAGCTATATTTCCTCTGGGCTTCATTGAGTGGTGATGGGGGTGAGGTTTGGTCTGTCGAGTCGAACATCGCCCGGGCCAGCGCGGCTTTTCCGGCTGGGATCTCCTGAAATTGGGAGTTGGGTGGGCTAGCAGGAATTATTGGAGAATCGGGACCGGCGTGGGAGCAGAGATCTTTGAGGAATGATTTCAACACAGAATAGAAGGGATAGCAGAAATGTTTTAGGAAATATAGGGCAGGCTAGCAAAAATCCTTGAGGAATTTCTAAGGTAGGCTAGCGGAGATCCTTGAGGAATTCGACGGGTAGCTAGCAGATATTCTTGCGGAACTTCGCAGAAGCAAGCCGAGATTCTTTAAGAAATTCAAGGTAAGCGAGCAGATTCCGTTGAGGAATTCCAAAGGCAGCTAGCAGAGACCATTTAGGAAATCGAAAACTGGCCTAGAATATTTGCGTCAGGCCAACTAGCAGTGATTCTTTAGGAAAACGAGGTGCAGGTACAAGCAGAGCCTATTTGAGGCTTTGTTACGTGCAAAAAATTAGTCTAGCATAATTTCTTGAGGAATTCATATGGCCGGCTAGCAGAGACACTTGAGGAAGTTGAAAAGCAGCTAGCAGCAACCCTTCAGGAATTCGAGGGGCAGCTAGCAGAGATCATTGAGGTTCACACATACCCGCTGCAGCTTCTCCCCAGTCACATAGAGGTCATCCTCGCGGAAGGCGAAGTCGGCCTGCGGTTTCTGCGGGCTTGGCTCGGGTTCCTGAAAACCTGAAGATTAAAGGAGCATTGAAGGCAAATCCATAGCACAGCACAGAATTTAAATTACGATCCAAGCCTGCGGTGAAATCGATTGTTAAACCGATTACGCAACGAAAACACACCGGAGATGGTGGCCTGGCGTAGCCATTAGTGTGGGAGTGCTGCTGTGCAATCTCCCGCTCCGGACTTGGGGTCGGCAGAACCGAATGGGCAGATCGGTAGGAGCTGGGGGAGGGGGAGGAAGATGGTGGTCGATCCTGGAATGGTAATGGTAAGAATGATTTTCGGGTTTCTTTCAAAGAATTTCTGCTAGCCTGAACTTTCTCCTGAACTTTAAAACTTACCCCGACTTGGCGGTGGCCGGTAGGCGGACTATCCCGTCTTTCGAAGCCATTGGTGTGCGGAGGATCGGAGCGGAAGCTCTGAAAAAATCATGAAGTCAAAGCGAGGGGAGAGAGAGAGAGAGAGAGAAAGAAAGAAACAGAGAGAGAGAGAAACAGAGAGATAAAGTGAGAGAGAGAGAGAGAGAGAGATAGAGAGAGAGAAAGAAACAGAGAGAGAGAAACATAGAGAGAGAGAGAGCGAGAGAGCGAGAGAGATCGTAATCAAAACCTACCGTAACCTGACTCGTATCCAAAATCGGAGCACTAGCGTCCCTAGTCTCTGTCCTCTTCAGTCGAACTCCTCCTCGAATACTGGTCAGCAATTGAGCACGATCGGCGTCCGAATTCTTGCGGCTATGTAGCGAGCTTGGGGTCGGGCTCGCGGATGCGCACCTGAAAAGAGAAAATTGTTAAGGACATGCTAGCAGAGATTCTTTGAGGAATTGGAGGGATGGAGGGGCAGGCTAGCAGAGATTCTTTGAGGAATTGGAGGGGATGGACAGGGGGCAGGCTAGCAGAGATTCTTTGAGGAATTGGAGGGGATGGAGGGGGCAGGCTAGCAGAGATTCTTTGAGGAATTGGAGGGGATGGACAGGGGGCAGGCTAGCAGAGATTCTTTGAGGAATTGGAGGGGATGGAGGGGCAGGCTAGCAGAGATTCTTTGAGGAATTGGAGGGGATGGAGGGGGCAGGCTAGCAGAGATTCTTTGAGGAATTGGAGGGGATGGAGGGGGCAAGCCGGCAGAGCTTCTTTGAGGAAATTACCTGGGCGCCGGCGGGGCTGGCGGGGCCAAATTTAGGGGAGGAGCGGGCGGAGGGCAGGATCCGCGGTCCTAAACAATTGTTTATGGAATTTAAAGTTACTATTAAAAAAACCGATTAAATAACGTAAATAATTCACACTGCAAAACTCACAATCCTATTATACTTTTCGCCATCAACCAGAATCACCGGCGCCGACTTGTCGATGGTTTTCGTGGGACGGAGGCGGATACCGGTTTTGATTTCCTGTAAGAAATACGTAATTTTATATACTTGTCCATAAGATAGTATCTATTATTGTTTATCGTTTAAAAATCCGTAAAAATCAGTTTCTATAAAACTCACATTTAATAAAGGGCTGTCGACGAAGGCCATACCCAAATTGACCAGCAACACGGCTGGGGCCACCTGAAATGGGTGATGAGGGAGAGTGAGAGAGAGGGAGAGAGAGAGAGAGAGAGAGAGAGAGAGAGAGAGAGAGAGAAAGAGAAAGCTAGCTTGCCTTGAAGCCAAAGTCCCAAAAAATATAATTGGCTCGATTGAAAACAAAAAGTGCAGTCCGCAAAAGTCTAAAGGTTCTGGTAAACTGGTCAACTGCCCGGGAGAGTGAGAGAGAGAGAGAGAGAGAGAGGCAGAGAAAGAGAGAGATAAATCAAGAAAAACAGTGCGGCAAGTGTTAAAGGAATGTTTTGTGGCTATGATCGGGGGATGCCCCCGACTCTCTCTCCCTCTCTTGCTCTCTCTCTCGCTCGCTCTCTCACTCTCTAGGCCAAGAGCGTCAGTTGTTGTCCCTTGTTGGGGGTGGGTTGACGCAAGAGACCCCTGAGGACCTTTTTTTCTGTTTCTCCCCCTCAAAATCGAAAATATCTCGGGCTCAAGCTCGCGGAGGAGCACCAGTGACCCAAGGGCAATAAGGAAAAAGTTACTAGAAGTACCAGCTATGGCCAGCTTTTTAAAATAGGAGATTTCCGTCTCTTTGTCTCGCCCTCTCTCTCTCTTTCTCGCTCACTCTATCTCTCACTCACTCTCTCACTTTCTCGCTCGCTCTCTCTGTCTCTGTCTCTCTTTCTCTCTTGCTTATTCGCCCTTTCTCAATTAAAGGGAAGCAAGGAATTTTGTTGGGCTTGCGTGTCGGGACCGCTGAAACGGTAAAAACCTCGGAAGCTCGTAATCCACAAGAAACCGTTCCCAAATGATCCCTGCTAGCTGGCCCACCGCAAAAAAAAATAGCTAAGAAACGCGTGCATCGAAATCGAACCACGGCTCGGGAGTGGAACTAAGATTATTGAGTATTGAAGAGGCAGGGGAGCTACGGGGTGTTCGTACGGTGGAAAGGAGCGGAAAATAGGAGGGACGGGGACGGCGGGGAAATAAGGCGAATAAGGGGCGGAAACCAGTCCATAGCCCGAGGGGCATATTGGGGTAGATGACCTTGCAGAAAGAGAAGCAACAAGAAGCACTGAAAATATAGAGGCAAGCTCTCATAATAAAAGTAATAATTAAAAAATTCACTCAAAAAATCAGCAATTAAATGGTTTATAAAGCGATTGTAACAGTTAGAAAAAGCCAATAGCCTGCTTTAAAATTTTAAAAGCCATGAACGCTTAGAAAATTACGAGAAAATTAGCTTCGAACTTTTAAAGGCTTGGTAACAGCTCTAAAAACACAAAAATTTGCTTTTTAAGGGACCGCGACACCTGGAAAAAAATACATGCTCATTTCTCTAGACCTATTTCTAAATTGGATTTTATACATCAAAAAACCAAAAATTCAATTGAGCTATTTTAGTTGATTCAGCTTGTATCAAAAAAAATCCTGGCGGGGTAAACTAGCAGAGATTCTTGGAGAATAAAGCCCAATTTCGGAAAATCCAGAAAATTTACAAAAATAAAGATATTGCGCTTTTAAAATCGCTACAATTTTTTTTAGAATTTTTATTCTTAGCAAAATCTGGAACAATTCGGTGAGGATAACTAGCAGATAGAAAATCACAAAAAAACCAAAAATTAGCTTTCCTTTTTTAGATCAAAAGTTTAAACATCTCAAAAAATCTACCTTACTGCAGTTTTTTACGTTAAATAAATCTAAACTTGATTAATAATAGTATTCTACTCCAAAAAAAATCCAGAACAATTTGCGGTCGTTTGGCAATGGCTGGCGATGGTCGGCGGGTGGCTCTGAGCAAACCAACAGAAAGACGGGGGGGCTTCTTTCGCAAAAAAGGGGCAAACGGGGAGGGCATAATAGAAGGAGGAGAACGGGACAATACACTTTACGCAAACTGTGATGGACACAAAACGATAGAAGAGAGAGGGAGAGAGAGAGAGAGAGAGACGGAAAAATGAACCCATCAAATAGAGTGAGTATCATAAATAGGGCACGATATGATAGATGGGGTCAAGGCATCTGGAAAAAATTCAAAAAAAGAGGGTGATGCCAAATTCCTGGGATTCCATTTTAAAGGGACTTGGAAGTCAAAAACCTATGGGATTCTAAGATCCATAAAAATATTCAAGTAAACGGCAACTAACAGAGACCCCCAGATCTCGAGAAAAGGAGGGCAAGCTAGCAGAGAGATTTGAGAATGTCAAGGGATTTCAATACCTTAAGGTAAAGAGAGATGGCGAAATAGAGAGAGAGCGAGAGAGAGCGTGCGAACGAGAGAGAGATGAAGCGTGAGAGTGAGAGAGAAAGCAAAAATTTTGGCGGAGATTGTGTCCTTAGGATCAAGGCGGAATCTGAGCATGAACAAAGCTTTTCGGTTGCTGGGTCATAAAACGGAACGGGTGTCACCATGTGGGATTTCCGGAAAGGCGAGGCACAATCGGGCCGAGCACGAGGTCAAAATGGCTATGTGGAATAGGCTTTTTGGGGCAGGCTAGCAGAGATTCTTTGAGGAATTGGAGGGGATGGAGGGGGGCAGGCTAGCAGAGATTCTTTGAGGAATTGGAGGGGATGGAGGGGGCAGGCTAGCAGAGATTCTTTGAGGAATTGGAGGGGATGGAGGGGGCAGGCTAGCAGAGATTCTTTGAGGAATTGGAGGGGATGGAGGGGGGCAGGCTAGCAGAGATTCTTTGAGGAATTGGAGGGGATGGAGGGGGCAGGCTAGCAGAGATTCTTTGAGGAATTGGAGGGGATGGAGGGGGGCAGGCTAGCAGAGATTCTTTGAGGCATTGGAGGGGCACGAAACAGGGGTAATCTCCTGAAAAGAAGTAGGAAAAATAGATGAATCGGTCGCTCACTTGGACAAACCCGGGAAAATGGGCTGGGCGGCGCGTGGAAAACGATCGGCGGCAAATTTGCGACTCGGCTTTTTGGGGGGTGGCGAGAGAGAGAGAGAGAGAGAGAGAGAGAGAGAGAGGGAGAGAGACTGCGCAAATATATGCAAAGAGAGAGAGATGGAGTGACAATGTATTTGGACACACAAGAGGGACACAGGACCACAAATACTGACTGATAACTTGTACGCGGGGCGTCTATGGGCGGACAGTCAGTATTGAGGAATCTGAGGGGAATTAAGTGGTTTCTGCTAGCTTACCCTTACTCTTGACTAGTTTTTTCCTAATTTTCCTGAATAATCTCTGCTAGCTTGCCCGAATCGGAAAATCACCGGTTTCCCACAGGGATCTCTGCTCGCATGCCCCTAAATCAGACACATTTTTTATCTTCGCAAGGAACCTGTGCCCGCTTGCCCAAAAATACTTTCCTGAATGCTCTATGCTGGCTTGCCCGGATCGGAAAATCACCGGTTTCCACGACAATCTCCGCTAGCCTGCCGTCGAGTCAACAAATTGTCTAATTTTCGTAAAGAATCGCTGCTAGCTTGCCTTAGCCCCAAAAAACATTTCCTAAATGATCTCTGCTAGCTTGCCTGAAGCCGAGAACCGTTAAGGTTCTTAAAGAATATCTGCCAGCACGCGAAATGCCAAATTCTCTTGATTAGCTAGCACAGATCTTTGGGGGCAAATTGATCATTGATGGCAGGCTAGCAGAGATCCTTGCGGAAAAATAAAAAAATCTGCTCTAAAATCGATCGGGAAGTCGCGAAAAATTCCCTTCCACGTCCAGGCTTATGCAAATTGGGGGAGGAAAAATTGGAAGCGAGCGGAAAGGAGAAAAAGTGGGTGGTTTTTGACGAAAAACGAACTAGGATGTGGCTGACATGTTCCCCAATGATCTCTGCTAGCTTGCCAGTTGGGCCATAGCTAAAATAAGAAAAAATCAATTCCTAGGGGTCTCCGCTAGTTTTA